ACCCCCCCCCCTCACCCCCTCCCTATTTTGCCAAATGGAACTAGAACGTAGAAAGAAAAATTCCCCCCTCGAAAAATTTAAACCGACGGTTAAGTCAGGCAACAAAACCAATAGTCTATTCGAAGCAGAATATGCTGCGAATTGAAAATCCGCAGACGAATTCCCACGAATGCGTTACAACAGCGAACAGAAAGGAGGACAATGGGGGCATTCTGAATCTGTTCTTTCCAAAATCAATGTGCTGAAACCAGGATTGAAGAGGGACTGGGTAGGCCAAACAGATCCTAGAGATATTCCTTTGAAGCCAAAAGTGAATACCGTATTCTGATCAAGATAACTAGAGCGAAGAAGCATTGGAATCTGAAGTCCAACGCAATCGGGGGGTGGGGGGGGGGATTGGATGGAGCAAAGGTGGAAATACTTGTTTACTTCTAAGTGGAAATGGGGGGGGGGCAGTAGGGGCGATAGTCAGGATGTTAGAAGAACCCTATTTTATCCAAACGCTAGGATCGACAGATCATCTGCTTTTTCAATTAGCAGTTTACTTTGAACTTTATCACCTCGTCGTCGTTTGCCTCTCCATATGAGAAATTCTGGATATTGTGATTTCATTGGATTCCGCTATTATTCATTTTTTGCCTCATGGACCGATAAGTCAATCATTTGATTGATCGATATTGGTTTATTTTGATGATCTACCTACCAGTACCTTCTTATCTCCCATTTCCAAAGAGTCAGAGTTTTAGCGCTAACTATAGATTTACCAATATAAGTGAATTATCCTATGGGTGGTCAATTCTCCTTACGGAAGTTGTATTAATTTCTCTTATTGACCTTCATTGTTGCTTTTGGATATTAACTTATTTTAGTAAGGTTTTGAGTTTCATTTTCAATTATATTTAGTTTTTTTTTCCGAAAATTTTTTTTTTGCAAACTGAGTGTTAAGTTGAAGAGTTTATACGAGCGAAATTGGTGATTTCGTGTAATTGGTACAATCACAGCCATTATTCGATTCGCAAGCTAGAAATTGGGAAAACATGCAAATTATTATTTCAATAATAACTGTTATTCCTCTCTGTCTCACGGGAACTCGTTTAGTTTGCGCGCCTGCGTTATTTAATTACAGCAGTTTTTATACACCTGTTTGTCATATTTACCCTCCCGTCTTCGAATACACTCCCCCCTCGTTTTTGGCTATTTTTCTCTATCTCCATCTCTTGAATCTTGAACCTCTCTTAAATCAATTTCAACTCTGGCTTGGAAAAGCTTTATTATCTGTTACCATCTGCGGATCGTCTCCCCCCCCCCCCCCCCCCCCCCCCCCCCCCCCCCCCCCCCCCCCCCACCCACCCACCCACCCACCCACCACCCTCTTCAAGCTTAACTTTCCCAATGCCTATGGACTAAAATGCTTTGATTGCATTTTCCTTTTAGACTGCCTCCTGCAGTGGTTAGTCGAATGGAGTGGTATTTGGACGACTCGTTCTACGACGAGGTTCTGTTACCCCAAAGCGACCTCTGTGAGAGCCAGCGAGGTGATATCCAAGTTGCTTACTTATCTGAGAGGGGGGAACTAACGATATCAGACAAACTATGCAATCGCGTTGGCGTCTCTTCAGATGCTATGATGCAAATAGCTTTTCTCGTAAGTTGGTTAGTTGCCTTTTATCGGAGTTTGCTTCTGCTACTTCTGCTAATTTAATAATTCTTAGCATAGGAATCCAACTTAGTGTCTCTGTCAGTTGTACGCGCGCTTATATGTACTCCAGCATACCGCTATGTTGTCTAATTCTTGGAATTCCCATTCCATTCTATTGGTAGAGTGTGCATTTCTAAGTACAAAATTCAATAGATGCTATTTGGATGAAATGAAGTTAAATTCCTTTTCATGTTAAATGGAGGTAACGTTCTTAAGTTTGAATGCAACAAGTTATAACATCCTTCCAGGGATGAAGAACTCCTTTGATTAGAGAACTCTGCAAGTTTGCATGACATTTCTTCTTGAATGAACTACTAGATGACCGCTACACCTTAAATGCCATTCCATATTTTTACCGGGGGGGGGGGCGTGCGATAGACTTACTTCCACGTGGTGCAACGTATACTCCTGCGGAAAAAAGTCTATTAACCGGCAGTCAACTTCCGACTTCAGACTGCCATGACCCCACTGTATGTCATATCGACCCCTTCCATAGTACACATCTTACCTTTTCTCTGCCTTTGTGTCTGTCTGTCTGTCTCTTTCATATCTGTGAATCCTTATTCTGTCCTCCTCCTCCTCTCTGTGAAGCCCGAAGTTAGCTTAAGGGTTAATGATGACTATCAAAATGCCTGCCATTTGAAATAAATTAATATTTTTACCGGTACAAGAAGCTAAAAGTGCCCGGATTAAATCGTGCAAATGGAGTTGTAAGTAATCTATTAGGCTATTTTGATTCGAGTTCCACATTCTGTTTCCAAACATCGAGGCAGTCATCTGTTTAAAGTGGCTTTTGGCACTGGGTCCTATCTCCACTATTTAGCCCTTCATTAAACAACTCATAAAATGACAAAGTATCCCAAGAAATGCTACAAACCAAAGCTCGATTAATAGACGTGAAATGGCGATCTCTTGAGTTCACACATTAGTTCTGCGAAATATTTGCTTGTAAACTACTACCAAAGGACAAATCGTTTCTCGGCTTTTCTGGGCGAATGTATCTGCCCACTGACAATCACAATCCAGTCCGAGAGAGAGAGTCGAGTATCGATGCGATTATGACAAGGTGTGGTCATCAAATGTGCGTCGTCTTTGGTTGTTGAAACATTTTTGTCTCTATGTCTCTTTTGATCACAAATCTCCTTAAGGCTGCACGGTTTTCCTAGTTTTAGAAAGGGACAATTTTTCACTTTTTTCTAAATGGTGATTTATCGTCTTTCCTTATCAATTAACTCGGAGAGTGAGATTTAATTAGTTTGAGTGGCGATTGACGCAACTCTGGCTTTTGTGCGCAATAGAATCTATTGCCCATCTTGTAGATGGTTAAGTCGTTTTGTTCTATTAGAATTATCGACTAATTTTGAGCTGTGACGATTGGGGGGGGGGGGGGGGGGGGGGGGGGGAGGGGGAGGTGGCAGAGAGAGGGAGGAAGAGCTCTTTTCTGTCTCCAATTAGTTTCCTTTCATTGGTTTAAGCAGAAATGTCAGCTTTTTTAGGATGTCACAAATAGTGTCGTATCTCCGATTTTAATTTGGTATATTCCTAAAATGAATTTTAGCCCAAACTTAAATACCCTCCTTTCATTATCCATTTAATATAAGCTAAATTGTCAAATAAGGAGTGTTTTTGGATGATTTTTGCGCCTTTTTTTAGAAGCGATAACGCCATTGGGCATCATCATTATCTTTAGACAGAGAGAGAGAGAGAGAGAGAGAGAGAGAGCTCTACACGTTTTGCACGAATGGAAGGAGAAATTAGATTCCATTTGCCTCAGTTTGAATCTCACTTCGATAAATTATAACCTGGCCAAAAAATATCCAGCATGTGCTAGCTTCGTACTTTGAACATGGCACTCCAAAAGTGGAAAGTTCATAATCTGCGAATTAATTATTGACTCGATTGATTGCTGGCTTGAAGTTTATTAGAAAATTTTACTCTGTGTCTAGACCATATTCATGATTGGTTTGTGAGTACTTTGATTTGAGGGTCTTCATCGGTAATCTCTCTTATTTAAGCCGGCAATGCAATTCTATTCTCGCATACATTTTGACAAATATTCCTCTGTCTCTAGACGTCACCAGTCATTCCCCCAAAATCGAAGTTATAATCACTCTCGACGATCTTTTAGAAGGAAACTAATTGTACTCATAATTAAATGGGAATTTCGAGTTTTTCATGTTTGGCTTATTCTCATGTTCATTGATCAACTCCAAAAGGAAAAATATTTCCATTGACAAATTTTTGTTTCGTTTTAAATTGCGATGGGTAGAAGGCAGTATGACCTGGTATACATCTCGCTATAAACAAATTACGAACTAAAAGCCACTAAATTGATTTCTAAATGGGCAAGATGCGAATTCTGATCATTCTACGGTTGGGGTGTGCGATAGACTTACTTCCACGTGGTGCACCCCGGGCAACGTATACTCATAAGCCAAAAAATTATGTAACCCGGTAGTTGACTTCTGACTTCAAGCAACAATGATCCCACTGTATATCGGATTTGGCCACTTCAACAGTACTCATCTTACCTTTTTTCCACCTTTGCGTCTGTCTCTTTTACATCTTTGAATCACTCTTCCGTTCCCCCTCTCGACTTTATTCTGGCTTTGATGTTCCTCCCCTCTGTGAAACCCAAAGTTAACTAAAGGGCTAATGATAACTGTCGAAGCACCTGCCGTTTGAAATAAATAAATAAACAAATAAATCATTATACTGTTCTACCTCTGGTCATTACACAGGTCCTTGCGATTTCCGGAAATCAAGCTACTGCACAATCTACGTTCTTTTATCAATTTTGTAGGTGTATCTTAGTTGTCAATAATTTCTCCATCAATTATTGATCTATTTATTTATATCAAATGCATTTTAAGCAAAGAAGGGTGATTAAAAAAGAATCGATGGCTCAATTTTCTCCAAAGCACATGTTTTTATGTCCTATAGTATTGGCTTACGTGGTTATATCTTATTCCTCCGTATTTCCTTTTGCTCTCTACTGAATCCTCATTTTGAATCAAGTGGCGCACAACTCTCCACCCCCCACGCTCTCTTTCTCTCCCCCAAGTCTTCATACATTTTTCCTATTCTTCGTTTGATTCTCACGATTTCACGATTCTTTGACTACGTGCTGGTACATCTTTGTGCTTTCTTTTTGAAGGTCAAGTTATCCCTGAGGTAAATGCAAGATTTCAGCAATTCCTAGTCTGCATTGTGAAGCTCTTACCCGATGTTAGTCTTGAGTAGAGAGGGGGACAGTGTGGAACTCCCCTGGTGTGGGTGACTCCAATTTTGTCGCTCTATTTATCTATTTCAAATGGCAGGCATTTTGATAGTTATCATTAGCCCTTTAGTTGACTTCGGGCTTCATACTTAACCATTGTGGTTGGTCATCTCTGTTTCGAAGAATTTCTATGGATGGGCATCTACGTTATGACCTCTGGTTTCACGAACGAGGATGTTTACCACTTATTTCTCGAAACGTCCTCTGACAACAGTACTTTTAATTTTACTCACACACATTTTGCCCCATTGTATCAGATTACTGTTTTCTGCTCATGGGATTTCCACAGTAATGAGGGCTAATCACGGAATTTCGATTGACTTAACCCCAACATCAGTCGCAATATGTCGCCAAGTAAGAAGTTGAAAAAATACCTGTTTGCGACCTGTTGTGAAACACACGCATGGGACTGTGGTTCTCTGGGGGTTTGATTACCGCAATCGGATATCGGCAGTAGTAGAAAATGATTAGCGACCTAGATTGCGGTCAGTGAGAGGGAGTGTTTAGAGCCATACTTTTCAGTCTATGATCTGGTGTCGGTTGCTCATCGACGGGACAAAGGACGCAATATTTGCTGACTGTCCTATCGTACCACTTAATCACTTTTCGGGCTCCGCTCGCTCACTCCTTTCCTCCCAGCCCCTCCCCATTCTCAGCTTCAAATCCCCTGCTTATTTGTGCTTTGTACAAATCAACTCTTGATCACTTCTTTGCGAAAACTTTGTTGACGAGGCTACGGCTACTTGAAGCCATTAGAATGGTTAGATCAAATGATGATTGCAAGAAAGAGTTTGTTGTCTTAGGGGGGGGTTGTAGCATCACATTGACTTGTTGAGCGAAATGATCAGTAGTTTAGGAGGTTAAACTCCTCTTCGCATTGTTGCAGATGGCCCATGCAAGGATTCATGGTAAATATGGCTTCAAAGGTGGCAGTACGGAGGTGTGCAGCACCAGATCCTTTTGTGGCGGTGGTGAAGCTCTCGCTCGTCCTCTAACCGTCGAGGTGCGGAGCTTCCTCGATATGGTGCTCTCTGAAAAGATCCTCGGTTTCACTGATGAGAGCGATCTTCTTGAAGCCCTCAAGCAATGCTCTCGGGCTCATCAGAAAGTGATTAGAGAAGCAGCTGCGGGCCACGGTGAGTGGAGCCTTCTTTAAGTACACATTGAGGCCTAACAAATCACAAATTCGAGCATTTTATTAAGTCAATTTTGAAAGAGAGATGTAATTTATAAGCCTGGGGGAACTATCATCACTCCACGTATTACAATCTTCACCGCGTCACAGCTTTAACATGGCCAAGTAAGCCTGGTGAGCAAGACTATTGAGAAATGGTCCATAACATCTAAAGTGCTCGGTTGATAGCTTGGATAAGTAACTTCCAATACTTTGATTACTCACTAAATCATATGCCTTTCAGGATAAAATGAATGCTCGAGAGATGACTTGCACACTATTGGCGAAGAAAACTGGCTCCGCAAATTGAAGGCCTCTGGGTTATTTTGAATTTCACGAATGCTTCATCCCTCAGCCTTAAACAAGCAGTGATCCTATGACTGACTGTTTTACAACTACTATAATTAGTTATGCACCGTCATATTATCTTTTGTAATATGATTTCTGTGTTAGGAAACGAAGTGGAATATTCGCTGAATTTAGGGCTGTAATTGTGTTCAAATGCACACCCAATCAAAGTTCTTAAGCCAATAAGCTTCTAAGAAGAAAGAGAAATCGATCACTGATGCCCATAAAAGCCCTCAAGCATGAAAACCATAATCAACCTACCTTTCTTCTAAGTAACGTAATGCACACATATAGCTACCCTTAATGGAAATCTAAATTAGATTATCTCCTGACCTGCTGCCTCGATTTCAGATTGGGACAGTCATCTTTTTGCTCTACACCAAATAGCCGAATCAGACGGCAAGGAGCTTTCGAGTATTTTCGCTGAAGCCGCCTATCAGCGTATCCAGTCAGTAGATCTCCGCACTTCACCACTCCGGTCTGATTGCGCTTCAACTTGTCACCTGAAGGGTGGTGTGCTTACCGGCGCTCGCCTGCCTTCTTCCCATGGTGGCTATGGCATTGTCTATGCAATTAATGTAAGTGTCGTGCCCACAATGAATGGACGATAGGGATCTGAAGTGAAGAGGTTTGTAACTAGAGTACTGACTACATTTAAATACGATTGGTAACTTGCAACGCCTTACAGTGTTTAGCCTTCGGTAAATACTCACACAGGTAATGGTAGAGGGTTCACTTTTAAGAGAGAAAGAAGGCCATTGGGGGGTGGGGGTGGGGGTGGGATTAGAGTCAAGACCTCAGAATAAATAACTTCGGATAAACCACTTTTCCATTTTGAAATTCCATCAGATTAGTCCCATCTTTTCCACGTCGTTTGCTCGACGACAAGATCACGTGTGATTTCGAGGCCATCATTTTCAAGTGCTTATTCTAGCGCCCACCTAATGGACAAAGGAATCTGTCGGTCGGTAAATTATCTCTGTATTTGTGGTGATTAATCCACCAATGTCTTCTCACTCATTCCATTTCATGGAGGTCCCTCACATGCGAACCAATGGATGTCAGGCGCTTCTCCGGTGTCCTAGCCATTCACGGAAAGTAATTTAGCACAATTGATTGGAACATGACAAGTTTGGTTTTTTTGGTGTTAGTAGAAATGCATCATTGCCACAAATCGGTAATCTTATTTCTGATCCTGCACGTTTGAGCTTTAATTGATTTTCCTTCAATAATAATCCGATTGGTATTACTTAGTGCATTTCAATTCAACTTTTCTAGGACGGTGGCTGCAGTGCTTGCATAACTACCAGACGTGAATCTGGTAGTTATTCCAAGGCATCGGAGTTTGCGGAGGCTGTCCGACAGAGTCTTCGACAACTCGCCAGAATCCTCCAATCGTGACACCCCGAATTATTTATACTTGTTTTTTTTTCTTCAATGAATGTAGCCAATTTAGGATCTAATAAAATGTATTTGCACAATTAATGCGAACATCTCAGTTGAGCTACTTTTAAGCCTCAGAGAAAGATTATGCTCGCAGCACCTATCGCATTAAAGTATAGTACTCAATGCTAGGATAATTTTATGGAAACATATTCTGCGTTTTTATTCTACAAACAGCGTCGAATAGAAATAGATCATAGTAGAAGAAGCACCACTTATTCGCGAAGTGAGATCGAATTCATTTTCATGAACTACTGGTGGCTATTCATGCGTCGAAGGAACGTTATTGGTAGTGCGCCCAGCTCTAAAGATCGCTATCAGAATATTCCATCGAGTCTATCAAAAATTGGGAAATGTGTGAGGCGGGAAGGCGGTGACTAAGTGATGACCACATTATAAGCGCAGACGATTGCAGTGGTTTGCTCCAAGAATAAGCCATGAATTATCTTCAGTAATTTCTTAGATAGCTAGACTCCCAGAACCAGCTAAGCCATAGCCCAGCTATAAAGGAAACAGACGTGTAGCGCGGAGCACGTTTATTCAGTAGCGGAAAACAGACGTGTAGCAAGGAATACGTTTATTCGATACGGGAAAACAGACGTGTAGCACGGAGCACGCTTATTCAGTACGGATTCAGACGTGTAGCACGGAGCACGTTTTTTCAGTACGGGTATCAGACGTGTAGCACGGAGCACGTCTATTCAGTGAGCATATTACGAACCAGCTAAGCTATAGCCCAGCTATAAAGGAAACAGACCGAAACTAGCTAAGCTATAGCCCAGCTATAAAGGAAACAGACGATAATTCGGAACACGTATATTCAGTCACGTAATGATCAGAAAAGTGTGCACGGAGCACGTTTATTCAGGACGTATCTTGCGGATCAAGTGCGGAGCACGTTTATTCAGTAAGTATATTGTGGATACAGTGTACACGCGGGGAGCTTAATCATGATCAGGAAGGCGGATTAGGTTAAACAAACGGAAGCTACTGATTGTCCACTGTTTGTACGGTCGCATCTCCCAATCCTGGCTACACACTCCAGAATGTGCAATCGTTCACACTACCAACCGAATCTATGGTGCTCCACCAGAATATTTGAATTAAAAGACCATATAAAATCTACACTGAAAATGACAACTTGTTGACTAACTTTTGCAAATCATGAACATTGAAAGTAGAAACGCTTTTCCGCCCAAGGTGCAGCGTAGTCCTTGAATTTTTATTATTATAAAGAAAACAAAAGATTTCTTATGAATACCAACAAAACTAATTTTAAGTTACTTGAATTTATTAAAATAAAGGAATTCCATAATTAAAATCCTTGAAAATTTCTCATTTTTTAAAGTTGGATTATCGAAGATGTTCGCTTTAAATCAGCGCAAGAGATTAAAATTTACGAAAAAAGTAAGTTCTTTTGAAATATTATAGAAATTCTTCTTTGAAAGTAATGAACATAAAATTATAAAGCACATACACACCCAGTCATAAAGGAGATTTAATTCAATTTCAAGATTACTTAATTTATTAATATTTTCGAAAAGATTTTAGGAACTCTCAATAGTTTTCCTTTGACTTATTTGCCTTTAATTTTCGCGTCAAGGGCGTTGTAAATGAACAAAGACATTTTGAACATTATGTGCAAAGTGCCAACAAGACTGACCAATTTAATTTTACATCGTTAGAATATTTCTCAGCAAATTTAGTCGTGTCGTCGATTACGTTAAACTGCTCCGTGCCTAGAGAAGTCATATCACTTCACTACAGTTTAATATTCTTTGAAATGGGGAGTGCGATAGACTTACCTCCACGTGGTGCACCCTGGGCAACGTATATTCATACGGCGAAAAGGTCTATTAACTGGCAGTTGACTTCTCACCTCAAACTACCATCACCCCACTCTGTCATATTCGAATATTTCCACAGTACTCTCCTCACCTTTTTTTCTCTTACATCTTTGAAACACTCTTATGTTCCCCCTCTCGACTTTTTTCAATTTGATGTTCTTCCCCTCTGTGAAGCCTGAAGTCAACTAAAGGGCTAATGGTAACCATCAAGACGCCTGCCATTTGATATAAATAATATTCCTTGAAATTAAATATATTTAGTTACTGATATATGGTTCTACCATAAACGCGCTTCACCTTTTACGTTCAGTGCTCTAACAGTTTTGAATATAGCTTAGCCAATTGTAAGAGCAAGTTAGCTATGCTAGAGCACTGCACCGTTGCCTTTGTCTTCACTTTGCTAGACAAACTTACTCATTTACCACTTCTGAGCTTTGATTTATATAGTTAGCAATCACTATGACAAGTTCTTCTAGTTTGCAAAGGTTCTTAGAATTAGGTAGGCTACCGAAAAGCTATAGAGGAAACAGACCTATGGCGTGGAATATGTCTACTCGGGTGGTGTTATGTTATGAATATGGGGTTTGCGATAGACTTATTTCCACGTGGTGCACCCTGGGGAAAGTATACTCATACGGCAAAAGTCTATTAACCGGCAGTTGAATTCTGCCCTCAAACTAGCATTACCCTACTGTATGTCATATTTGACTACTTCCACAGTACTCACCTC